CGGCGTGACCTTCCTCGATCACAGATCTCGAGAGTTGAACGATATTCCCCGAGCTGATCTCATCTTCCCGGCCGATGATCCCAAATTTGCAAGTGCATCGACCTCACTGTTTTGTTCTCGAGGTATATGCTGTAAGGCCCATTCTTTGAAACGGTGTAAAGTTACCTGCAGTTTGTCTAAATACCTTTGCATCCTATCTTCTCGAACTTCGAAGGTTTTGTTTACTTAATTTACCACCAGCAAAGAGTCACACTTGGGTTCAATGACTTCTGCTCCCAAGCTTTTACCTAGCTCGAGACCTGCAATCATGGACTCATACTCGGCCTCGTTGTTACTCAACCTAGTAGTGTTGATAGATTCCCTAATAGTGTTACCTGTGGGCAGCTTTAAAATGATGCCTAGCCCGGACCCCTTCACGTTCAAAGCCCCGTCCGTGAAAAGGGTCCATACCCCCGATGATGTACCCGATTTCAATAAGAGTTCTTTTTTAACTTTGGATACGAGGGTCGGCGTGAAACGACCACGAAGTCCGCTATAATTTGAGACTTGATGGCCGTAGGGGGTTGATATTCGATATCGTACCCATTGAGTTCGACGGCCCATTTGGCCAATCGGCCTGATAGTTTGGGCTTATGCAAAATATTACGAAGTGGCTAAGTGGTTAATACGCATATGGGGTGACACTGAAAGTACGGTCTTAACTTTCTAAAGGCGCTTATCAATGCAAGTGCCAAATTTTGTAAGTGTGGATATCTAGTTTCTTCTTCTCCTAAGGTTCGTCTTACATAATAAACGGGAAATTACGTACCTTGCTCTTCTCGAACTAGGACACCACTTACCGTGATTTTCGATACTACCAAGTACAAGCAAAGTTTTTTGTCTGTTTTTGTAGTATGAAGCAGCGGTGGGCTCGATAGATATTGCTTTAATTCCTCTAATGCATGTTGGCATTCCGGGGTCCAAGCGAAACCGTTCTTCTTTTTTAATAGAGAGAAAAATCTGTGACTTCGATCTGATGACCTTGAAATGAATCGGCCTAAGCCAGTAATCCGTCACGTTAGCCTATGCATGGCTTTTACACTGTCCACGATGGCGATGTCTTCGATGGACTTGATTTTATCGGGGTTAATATCGATCCCCTAATTTGATGCCATGAAGCCGAGGAACTTTCCCGAACTGACCCCGAAAGCACATTTCTCGGGGTTGAGCTTCATATTGTATTTCCTTAAAATCTTGAATGTTTCCTACAAATTAGCCAAATGGTCCTCTGCGCGCAGGGACTTAACTAGCATGTCATCAATATAAACCTCAATCAATTTACCTATTTGTTCCTCGAATATTTTATTTACTAAGCGTTGGTAAGTAGCTCCTGTATTTTTTAGCCCGAAGGGCATCACATTATAACAATATGTTCCATACTTGGTGACAAATGAAGTTTTTTCCTGGTCTTCCGGAATAGGCATCGAGAAATGTAAGGACCTCGTGGCCGGCCGTGGCATCGATCATGCGATCGATGTTGGGCAACGGAAAAGAATCTTTGGGGCATGCCTTGTTTAAATCCTTATAATCTACACACATTCTAAGTTTGTTTCCTTTTTTAGGGACTACAACTACATTGGCTAACCATTCGGGATATTTTACCTCCTAAATGGACCCATTTTGAGAAGTTTAGTTACCTCGTCCTTTATGAATGTGTGCTTTACCTCGGACTGGGGTCTTTTTTTCGATTCACCGATTTGAGCCTAGGGTCTAGGCTTAGCCGAGGCGTCGTTATATCCGGTGGGATCCCTGTTATATCTAAATGGGACCAAGTAAAACAATATATGTTATCGATAAGAAATTGAATAAGCCTTTTCCTGAGTTCGGGGGTTAATCTCGTTCCCAGGTATACCTTTCATTCGGGCAAATGCTCGATTAGTATGACTTGCTCCAATTCTTCAATCGTTGATTGGGTAGCGTCGGAATCATCGGGAAGCACGAAGGATCGAGGGATCCTTTGATCATCATCTTCACCGATCTTCTGATTTTCTGGTTGGATTAAAGCTGATGTCTGTGATTGTTATTTGGAATCTCGTTCCCCTTTTGAGTCCGATCCCTTTATTGACAAAGGAGAGGATATCGGATTTGCTTCCTCGACGGAAGACATTTCTCTTGCGGCTGGTTGTTCTCTGTACACTATTTTGACTCCCCTCGATGTTGGGAATTTAAGAACCTGGTGTAGGGTCGAAGGTATAGCTCTCATGTTGTGAATCCATGGCCTTCCAAAAAGAGCGGTGTACCTCATGTCGCCTTCGATTACGTGGAACTTCGTTTCCAGGATGGTCCCGACCACGTTTATCAGCAGAATTATCTCGCCTTTGGTGGTTTCACATGCCATATTGAATCTGTTTAGAAGCAGGATTGTGGGTACGACCTGGTCCTGTAGACCGAGCTGTTCTACAACCTTCGATCTAATGATGTTGGCCGAGCTACCTGGATCAATTAACACACGCTAAACTTTAGTTTTATTCATAAGCACGGATATTACCAGTGCATCGTTATAAGGTTGTATGACTCCTTCTGCATCTTCATCATTGAAGGACAAAGTTCCTATGGGTGCGTAATCCCGAGTTCGAGGTCGCTTTTCTCTCATAATCGATATCTTAGTGCATTTAAGCACCGGCCCTTGAGGGGTATCGACGCCGCCGATGATCATGTGGATGATGTGCTGTGGTTCTTCTTGTTCGTTTTGTTTGCCAAAATCCCTGTTTTTGAAATGGTTCTTAGCCATGTCGCTTAAAAATTCTCGAAGGTGTCCTTTATTGAATAACCGGGCTACCTCCTCTCTTAATTGCCTGCAATCTTCCGTTCTGTGGCCATGGGTGCCATGATATTCGCATATTTGATTGGGATTCCTCTGGGCAGGATCGGCCTGCATGGGTCGAGGCCATTTAGTGTCTTTGATGCGTCTGATAGCCGACACGATGGCGGATGCATCAATGCTGAAGTTATACTCCGATAACTGTGGTGCTTCCTTAGATCCGGTAGGCCTGTCGAACCCACTTCTATTCATCAGCCCCCGAGACCCTTGACCTCGATCACTTCTTTTGTTGCTTTGTCCGGGGTTACGTCTCGATTTATTGATTATGTGGTTTCCACTATACGGTCGGTATCGATCCCTGATCGGACCTTGTTCTCAATTGATATCCCTTCGAGCAGCGGGTTCAGACCCCAATTAATCATCTTCGGCTCTAATTTTTGATTGGTACCGATTGTGCACGTCGGCCCAAGTGATAGCTGGATACTCGATCAGGTTATGCTTCAACCGCCGTGAAGCCGTCGAACTTCGTTTGTTCAAACTTTGAGTGAAAGCCTGAACAGCCCAATCGTCTGTGACTGGTGGCAGATCCATTCATTCCATTTGAAAATGAGATACGAATTCCCTAAGCATCTCGTTATCCTTTTGTCTTACCTTGAACAGGTTCGACTTCCTGGTCTTGACTTTTATGGCTCCGGCGTGTGCTTTTACGAAGGAATCTACAAGCATAGCAAAAGAATCGATAGAATTAGATGATAAATTATGATACCATATCATTGCTCCCTTTGATAGGGTTTCACCGAATTTCTTCAATAATACGGATTCGATCTCATCATCCTCTTGGTCGTTCCCTTTGATGGCACATGTGTATGAGGTGACATGTTCATTGGGGTCGGTAGTTCCGTTATATTTAGGAATCTCGGGCATGCAAAATTTCTTTGGGATCGGTTTAGGAGCCGCGCTTGGGGGGAAAGGATTTTGTATGAATTTTTTGGAATCTAAGCCCTTCAATATTTGTGGTGCCCCCAGGATCTGATCAACCCTGGAGTTGTATGTTTCTACCTTTTTGTCGTTTGCTTCGATCCTCCTTTCTCCCGATTCTATTCGTTTGGTCAGTTCTTCGAATATCTTAGCAATTTCGGGATTAGTCCCCGACTCCTGCTCATTTGATTTCACTATAGCTGGTTCTATTGTATGGGCGATTTCTCGGGGTTGACTGGGCTCCGGCCTGCTCGGTATCTGGGTTTGACTCTATAACTGAGCTATCGTTGTCTGTTGAGCTTGCAACATTTCGAAAATCATACGCAAGTTGACGCCGTTTTCCTCGATGTTATGGGTATCTCGAGCTACAGATCGAGTGCCACCATGTATGCTATTTTCAGGTTCAGAATGTAGGTTCGCCTCAATGGCCACATGCGAATTAATGTCTATCGGCACTTCGATTCGAGCTCTAACGGCGTTGACAAGCGGCCTTTCGGTACTGGGTGTCAAGTTGTTGTTCTCATCTTGAAGACCAGCTTCGTTGTCGATAGGTAAGGCCATTTAATTGATAGTTTAGTCGTTGCTAATCCGAAATCAAAGGCACCTCCGAAAACAAGCGCAAAACAACGTATTTTTGCAGATTCGTATCAAATAACCAGTGTTATCCTTAGCCTCACGGTGGGCGTCAAACTGTTTACCCGAAAAACGAATAGAGTTGAATTTATACGTAGTTCTAAGGATATGTAGTATAACTTAACACGAATCGTAAGGATAAATAGAAAGTATCAAATACGGATTGTAAAGAATGAAAAATACACAAGGTTAGAAAGAAGACGATTTAAGGACTAAATAAGATGAATCAATCTATGAAGCCAAAAAGAATAACCCTTCAATATAGGAATGTATGGTATTTGAGTTATAATATAAGCAAAAAAACTTGGTTCTTATAGAAATAATAACCATCCCCTTTATAGTAGAGGGATCTTACTTTATATATAATTAAAAATACATAGTGGGAGACCAATGATAAATCAGTTTTTCCATAATTCCTGCCAGGATTCTCTCCTCTAGTGGGATTGCAACGGCTCTTGTCTATGAGCTCGATATTGACTCGAGCTTTCGGTCTTGACTCGAACTCTCGATCTTGACTCGAGCTCGATTCTGACTCGGATCCTTGTATTGATTCGGGGTAAGTGTTGGTCGGTCTCTGCCTCATAAGCTCGATAACTTTACTTTGCATCATAGTTCGACTTGGATTCGAGCTCGATAATGACATCGAGCTCGACATTGATCGGTCCCTCGGGCTCGAAGCTTGGTGACCTGACTTTGGACCTCAACCTGATACTATGAAGACGCTTCTCTGATCTAATGTATTACCATCTAAACCAGTTCGTACGAAGGACTAACCGGTTCGTACGAGAAAAAGTAAACGTGCAAGTGATTATTCTTGCTTACCTGGGAAATCCATGGGTAGAATTCTTCCTTCAAATTATGATCATATCTACCAAGGAAACCAGAGGCTATAGATTTCACCTCTAGGAGGTCACTTCTTTTGATGCATATCATTTCATTCCCAAACTTGGCTTTGTGTATACTGCAAAATGTGAAACTCAAGTTGACCCTAGGTAGCCCCAATAACCACATCTCCTTAGCAGTCTTAGTACTGATCAGTGGAGCAAAAGAAATAACCAGAAATCCTATGGATTCCGGAGAAATTATATTTAACTGGGAGAGTAACTAAAGAAACTGTGCTCCTAAAAGTGTGTTGATTATACATCTGGAGAAAAATTTGACAACGGGATGTTGCAAACTAATTGACACCACGTCTGGTAGATATCAAAGCAATATAGGTCGATAATATTCAGCCAGAGTTAGAGGACATGTTAGCCATTTTGAGCTATAAATTTAAAGACAGATATGAGGGATCAATATATAACAAAATGTGACATCAATCAGTCTAACATCTTTTTAACAATAGGCAAAGGCTAGAAGGCCTTTGGATTCTCTGTCAGCTATTCATAAGTTAAGAGGCTGTTCGCAAAAATCCAAATGAATTTAAAAAATAAAGATAAAGCCAAACCTCAATGATAAAAGCTTATCTATCATATAATTTATCAGTCGATATAGTCTTATTGGGCTCAAATTGAGCACATTCAACCAAAGACGGCATGACTGTACTCATGTAAGGAAGAAAATCCTTCCCTATGCACTGGCAAATTCGGTTGCATGCCTGCGATGAAATCAAGAAATGCTGAGAGGCCAATATAAAAAGAAGTTCTAAGCTCATAAAATCAAAGGATTAACACATACCTGTAGAATGTAAACAATAGTATCAGACTCTCTCACTTGTGATTTTTAAAATGACTTCAGCACTTCCATAACCTTTAATGACACCAAAAGCAAGATTTAAAAAGTTGATGTTAAGAAATGAATGAAAGGGTAAGATCACATAATCATGACACCAAGAGAAGAACGAGAGTGTCAAAAGAGAGGCAGAATGTAGGACAAAAGAGGAACTAGGAGGAGAAGATATATGAGTCATTAGTCGTTGCTCCCAAGTGCTGAAGATAAATGGTAATCCGTCTGCAATGGCACTGCAGAAAAATACTCGCTCGTGATGATGTTTACACCAAATCAATGAATACATGACATGTGTCATTGACAACTTTATCACTTCATTTTCACCTCAAGTTATCATTAACCATTGATAAATTATGGTTGTATGGTATAAACACCGGGTGTATATAAGTTTTTCCAATAACATGAATATATATCTTGCGCATCACACGCACATGCGAAAAGATGTATTAGGCATAGTTGGGAGAAGACCTGCTCCAAGTCATCTCTGAATTTCTCTTTGCCTACAGCCATTGCAACCAGGCTTATGCACTCGAAGGCTCTGACTTGAAGCTTGTGATTAGATTTATCATTTGCATTTGCCCAGATAGTTTTCAAATATGGCATTACAAAATCATAGTACGTTTGGAATTGCTCCTGTTGAAGTATATATGATATATTAGCCATCAATATCCATAACATAAGCAGATATAGAACTGAGTCAAAAATGTATGCAAGTAGACCTTAGATAAATTAGCAATACCCGACAATGCCTTTAATGCTGCTCTTTGAACCATTTCATTGTCGTTCCGCATTCCAAACAACAGTAATGAGTAGGAAAATACACCATCAATCTCTTAAACTTGTTAGCAGTAATCTGCCTTTTGTAACAAGGTGGCCTCTATATTTGCATACCTGTAGAAGTACAAGCTGTTTGTTGAATATTCTATCTAAGTAGGGTACCAAAGTTTCTGGCTTGTTAGATTTACAAAAATCCGAGACAGCTAAAGCTGCATGTGCCTATGAAAATGCCATAGAAAGTATCATGAACTAAATGAAGTCAGTAATGACACATCTGACAAAATCTTTACGCTATGAATTCGTCAAACTCTATTAAAGGTACCTCCCCTAACATATCTCTGTGTAGTAATATTTTCTCTCTAGTGTCATATTTACAGTCATTTAAGGTGAGACTTTATGTACACCAAAATATAGTCATAAACTTAAATTTGAAGCAGTGTGCAATTAAGGCTGCATATAATACACCCATGTGGTCCGCCCCTTCCCGGACCCCGCGCATAGTGGCGGGAGCTTAGTGCACCGGACTGCCCTTTTTTTCTGCGCAAAGGCTCCAAAAGTAAGGCCACACACTCTTGTCAATAAAACATACTAGAATATGTAAAGTTAATTAATTTTTCTCTCTAAGGATAGCAACAACAAAATTTTTAAGCTTAAACAGATTAAACCTATACAAATTTATAGATCATCAACTTTATGGAATATGTAACCCCATTGTAAAGGTGCAGCATAAAGGGTTCATATCGCCATAGGTCAGACCTGCACTCGAGGATGTTGAAAATCATCCATAGCTGCAGCTAATGCAGGCAATACTAAGTTATGGTATTGTACTTGTAAATGTGGACAGAAGTCGATTGAGAACTGCGCAACTGCATTAATAGCGGCCTATCTGACTCGAGGATGAGGATCTTGGAAAGCAACCATATACACTATTTGCTCCAAATACTTCATCATCACCTACAAACAAAGAAACCATGGGCTCAAGATAATAGATGAAGAAAATTAAATTAGAACTAATAGGGGCTAGTGGCAAACAATCTTATCTATCCCAGCAGTTTGCTAGCGAAAAAACACCTCTTAAATGCTACAAAATCATCGCAACATAATCATGAATGAGACATCAGATTTGTACCTTTGAGCTTCCTTCGGCTATCTGAGAAAGTGCAATGAGAGCTGCGTGCCGTTTCTCCCACTCAGGGACTACCAAGTAAGCATCCAACTGCTCTAGTTCAATAGGAGCTATAGTCTTGCCACCTAATGCTTTAGAAAACCGGCCTAAACACTCGCGACCGTAAATGTAGTTATCAGTAACCCCTGCCTGGTCATACCAGATCTCCAAACTATGCCAGCTAGGTTTGTCCTTAATATCCAGTAACAAATTCAACAACACTGCAAAACAAGTGGTAGTAAACAGAGGCAGCTTCTTCATCATACCAGGGGCCTTTTCCCTAGCCTCAACCAAAGCTAATACGAACTCAATTGCCAAGTGCCTTGTCCTTTCTTCCAAACTCTTATCCTCTGCTATGTCAAACATGGTACCCACCACATCCACTAGTTGCCTCCTCAAGAACCTAGGTTCATTCTTCGCCAACTTTATATGAAATAGCAGCACCTGCTCTGCTGCATCCTCCCTCCTCTTGTTGTTCAATGTGTCAGTCAAAGCCCTCATCATAACTGGCATAGTTCTTGAAACCGCTCTTTTTCATTTGAACTCGGTAAGCTCTGAATGAAGGTGATCACAGCTCTTGCGGCAGTGATCCTCACTTAGAGGTGGAGGGTATCATCATTCAGTGTATTAAGGAATAGCTTGTGCAAATCTTTTACGCAAAGTACTGTTGTTTCGCCTATGTCCTTAGATAGAATCGCAAATATTATGCAAGCTGCCCCTTTTAAGTACGGGTCTAAACTGGAATTAGTGACTGTACAGGGGTGGCAATAATTCAGGCCAGGTTTTATCTGCGGGAACTGAATCAATCAGCGTCCAAACGGTTATAAGTAGCTCTTGGATGATGAATCCTGGTTCTTCAAGGGAGATACGATCAACGATCATAGATTTGATGATGGCTTGAGCGGAGACACTTAGATTGTGAAGGAGTCCAGCACACCTTTCACGGTAATAAATGTCGTGGGAAGGGCCAAGATAGTCAACAAGCTTAAGAGCAATGGACTCTGGATCCTTTTGCTTCATCATGTTGAACATCCACTCAGCCTTGGGTCGTTTCTCCTCGGAGCTGGGCCAGTGATTGGAAATAAAGGTTTGAAATGGCTGTGAATCAGGCCCCAGAATCGCCTCCATCTGGAACTGAATCAACTCGCTATCCATTACTGTATAGTATATTTTGAAAAGAGAGAGAGAAGGAAACTACTATGGAGTTCTGAGAAATGTGCCATTGACTTACTCTCCTAAGAAAAACTTTTTTTGTGATAGTCTTAGAAGACTTTTAAGAGAATAGAAATGTGATCACGAGACATTGTCTCCCATGAATATTAAATATATAAAATCACAGCTAACAAAAAATATACAATAATACAACTTGATGGCTCAAAGGTCAATATCACAATATACTATTGAAGTCCATGGTACATATCATTACATTAAAGCTTGTCTTATAAATGATTTCGTTTCTAATTTGCAAAGATAAGATTAGAAAGTTTACTGCGCCTCCAATATGTTGTTTTGTTTGTTGGTAAATTGGTAAGTCGAACATGAATATAAATTGTTTAGACTACTTAATTATTCACACATTCATTGAATGATGAAGCTAGGCAACAATTAGGTATATTTTAGTAAAGTTATAAGAGAATCATACACAATACTTCTCCTCAAATCTCAAGGCGTGAATGATGAAGCTAGGCAACATTAAGAGTATTTTTTAACAAAACTAAATTTATATTAATTTAAGAATTTTTTTTAAGAGATTTAAAATCTGAATGAAACATTGTCGCTCATCCTGAATATTGAATATTAGTAAGTCAGAGCATAAAAAAGAATATCATAATGTAACTTGATGGCTTCAAGGTCTATAATATAATAGTAATGATTTGAATATTCATACTGTATGTGAGAGTCTAGATACCGAATTTTCAGGAACTCCTTCAAAAATGGTGCAATGCTCAGTTCGACGAGGCGCTGACTTGGTACCAATTGAAACATTAGCCTGCCTTCATTTTTTCCAATCATCATTTAGAGTAGTCTCCCTCTAGATTTCTCAATCAATACAGTAATGGATACCTATTTGACTCAGTTTCAAAATGCCCAGATGAAGGCGATTCTGAGGCCTGGTTCTAGGGTTCCGTTTGAAACCTTCATTTCCGATCAATGTTCGGAGGCTGAGTCAATGTTCTACTTGATGAAACACAAGGATCCAGAGTCCCTTGCTCTTAAGTTTGTTGACTATCTTAACCCTTCCCACAAACTTGATACCTGTCAAGAGTGTGCTTAACCGAGTCAAACGGTTTCACATAAATTGAAACGGAGGGAGTACTAGATATTGAGGATGACCCCGCTTGGCATAGTGCCGAGACCGGCTCTGATAATACAGGGGCAACAAGTAATTTCAAAGTTGGTGTGGACTGTTTAGGCAGGTTTTCTGTTGCATTAGGAGGTAAGTGTATTGCGCATACTGCTAAAGAGCAGCTGTCTGCTTACTTGGTTGCCCCACAGTGGGAGAAGCACCATGCAGCTCTCAATGCACTTGCTTGCATTGCTAAAGGTTGCTCAAAGCTGGTACGTACAATACCTGTCTAAATATATTAGTAGTTGGTTTGATTATAATAGATATAACATTATTTCAATTCCTAGCATTTAAGAGGTGCCTTTTGCTGGCAATTTGCTTAAATATCTAAGATAATTTGCCCCTATTCTGTACCATAATGCTTTACACTATGTTTATTACGTGTTTAAAGTTATCTTTGATTTTTTAATCCTTAGGCAATTACTCCGTAAACATGGCTTCTTTTTGGTATTACAGGTGATGTTTAAGAATCTGAAGCAACCAGTGAATATGGCTCTAAGTTGTTTCCAAGATCCTCATCCTCGAGTCAGACTGGCTGCTTGCGAGGCAATTCAGAACTTGTCGACTGTCTACTGTCCAGATTATCGAGAACAATACCATAACCAAGCAGTTCCTGCATTAGCTGCAACTTTGGATTATTCTCACCCAAGAGTGCAGGTTTGTCCTATGTGATAGTATGTGCTGTTCATGGATTCTGCAAGTTTCCTAATAAACAATTGCAAGCTAAAAAAAGGATTAGATTTTCGATCATTGATACATGAAACAACCAACAAAAGTTTTTATTCTTACTGCACCCCTCAACAAGGGGTCTCATATACCATAAAGTTTCTTTAGCCTTGCCTAAGTCTGATACCCCCTTTAATTTTTTAAATTGTAATTTTATCCACAAAGAGAATATTGATTCCTAACAATGTTGCGTTTAAGAGTAAATATTCCACAGTTCTCGGAGTTGGCTCTTTATCAGACCACCCATCTTATTTCATTCTGCTTGATTTCTTGATAATCTTTGAGATAATCTAAGAAGTCTCTTGGCTATATATGACTTCATTTGCTTTGCTGTAAGGCTCGTTCCCAATTGGTCCTTGACAATCACTTTTTCATTCTCAAACACGAGGCAAATTAAGGATTATATTGTGTAATATCTCTTCTAGAATTTCTTACAATTGATGTTATTAACTCTTTCTAATTTATTGGCTTCGGCAGTGTGTTTCTGGAAATTTTATGTTATGACTTTATTTGGGTTGCAATAAGAGCACTCTTGCTGACTTACAAGAACATTGAATGATTCTACTATATGAGATTATAGAGGAAGTAATAATTACTACTAAATGTCAGTGGAGGTTCGGAAAAAATACATAAGCCTAAAGATGTGGTAGATGTGAATCCGTTCAGTTGCTGATGCCAAGTAATTTGGTCCTTTTACATTTTTGGCATTTTTATAGGCATCTGCCGCGTTAGCTCTCTGGAAGTTCTGTGAGTGCAACAAGCCAGAAACTTTGAAACCTTACCTGGATGAATTAGTTAACAAACTGCTTGTACTTATACAGGTGTGTCAATATAGAGGTCATCGAATTATAAAGATATGTCACTGCTGACAACTGCAAGGGGACTAATGATGTAATTTTCCATGTCCTTTTATTGCTTGAAATGCAGAATAGCAAACTAATGGTCCAAGAAGCAGCATTGAGGGCGTTGTCTCGTCTTTCTCTATCTGTTAAGGTATTAACTGGCGCATTTATTCTCGACTCCGTTCTATTTCTTCTTATATTATCAATCATGAAGGCTAATATATTAAACGTCAACAGGGGCACTTCTGGACCTACTATGACACTGTTATGCCACACTTGAAAGCTGTCCTGAGAAATGCAGATCTTAAGTCTAATCACAGACTTCATGGCCTAGCGTTGCAGTGCATAAGCTTTGTTGGGTCTGCTGGTGGCAAGGAGAAATTTAGAGAAGACGCAGAGCAGGTCTTCTACCAACTTTGCCGAGTACTGAACACACGTATTGATGCCATGCTTATAGGATTGTGTCACGACCCAAAATCCTAACATGTTGTGATGGCGCCTATCTCAGTACTAGGCAAGCCGACAACATCAATAACCCACGATTTCCTTTAAGTTTGAAAACATAATGTTTAATACAATACAAAAAATCTAGCAAATTCCAATACAACACTCCCAAAACCTGGTGTCACTGAGTACATGAGCATTTATACATTACAAGTCTAATAATAATCTGAGACCAAATATAATAACAAAAGGATAGGGAAGGAGAGACAAGGTCTGCGAAACATGGCAGCTACCTCTGTATCTCCGAAAAATCGACTGTACAAAAGAATCAACACCCACTGTATCCGGGATCACCTGGATCTGCACACGAAGTGCAGGGTGTAGTATGAGTACAACCAACATAGTAACTAATAATAATAAATAAGAACTGAAGGTAGTGACGAGCTTCACAACTAAGTCCAAATATAGTACTTTTCCACATAAAAGGGTAGTCATGCTCTCAAGTTCAACATTTAGAAATTCATAGTAATTTAATATCAAATTTAACTGAAACAGACAATAATGTTTTTCTGAAATTTCCAAAAATAATGATATATGACAACTGAAATGCAGCAAATAATGAAATCAATGCATCCTCTCAGAGTAACAGTCACTCAGTCCTCCCATTCATTCCAACCTCACAGTCACTCATCACTCGCACTCAATAGGGACCTGCGCTCACTGAGGGTGTGTACAGACTCCGGAGGGGCTCCTTCAGCCCAAGCGCTATATCAAGCCAATCATGGCATAAATCAATAAACATGATGCGGCGTGCATACCAATCCATAAATATCCTCACAATTAGGCCCTCGGTCTCACTCAGTCATCAACCTCTCCAGTCTCTCGGGCTCTCATAAATCAGGATAAGCAGCCCAAAAATAGTGATATGACGCATTAATAATAAATAAGAGAGACTGAGGTATGATATAAAATGAATAAACATGACTGAGTGAAAAAGTACAATTTGAACATATTATTCAACTACAAAAATGACCCCAGTGGGTACCAACAATAACAATATATGCCTAAGCATGATTTTTAATACGAGTCTCAGCTCAATTTTCTCTAACATGTAGAGGATGTACAGATATCAATAGATTTTTCAACTATACAGTCCCAAGGAATTTGGCCAAGTCACAATTCCTACGGTGCACGCCCACACACCCGTCACCTAGCATGTGCGTCACCTCAAAACCAATCACATAACACATAATCCTGGGTTTCATACCCTCAGGACCAAATTTAGAACTGTTACTTACCTCAAACCGTGTAATTCTTTATTCCGCTATGCCCTTGCCACGAGAATTTGTCTCCGAAAGCCTCGTATCTAACTACAATTAATTCGATTCAGTCAATACCAATTATTGTAATTAATTCCATAAGAAAATACTAATTTTTCAATAAAATCCGAAATTAACTCAAAAATTATCCGTGGGGCCCACGCCTCGGAACCTCTCACAAAGGTTACAAAGTATGAACGCACATCCAACCACGAGTCCAACTGTACAAATTTCACCAAATTTCGACATCAACTCGAGCCTCAAATCTTTAATTAAAATCTATAAAGATTTCTATCATTTTTAACCCAATCTTTACCCATTTGAACTTAACAATCTTTCCACAACCTTATTGGTATGTATACATAATACTCTTACACCCAAGAATCATACTATTATTCACCCATATTTACTCTAAACTCGAAATTGAAGAATTAGGGAAAGAAATTCTTACCTCTTTGAAGCCCTAGCAAGATCCTTGTGAAATCTTCAAAACTTGAACAAGAATTGATGGATAAATGACTAAGTCTTCGCTTTCTCTCTCTAAAATGCTCTCACCTCTCTCGAAAATGTCAGATTTTGGCTCAAAAATGAGCTTCAAGGGCTATAAATCGAAGTTGGATCGGGTCAAAAATTAGAAAGAATGGAAGCTATGATGCAGTTATGCAATCGCATAACTGGTATGCGGTCGGCATATCGGCCGCATAATTTGGCCTCCAAAACTGGGCGTGACTGACCCGGTCTGCGGTCATTATGCGACCCGCATACTTGTTCTGCGGTCGCATAATGCACCGCAAAACAGGTCTGCGGTCGCATAGTGCACCGCAGATTTTCCTCAAATCTTGCCCCTCTCCTGATCCACTTTGCGACCATTATGCGGTCCGCAGAGTGATTTTGCGACCACTACGGTCGCAGAAATGACCCTTTTTTCCGACAAAAAGTTTCTTTACATATTGGTGCATTGCTCAACCCAAAAAGTCCGAACTAATCTTTGTACTAATTGATCTACCTCGGCACTACCAAACCTTAATTTCCTTAGCAAAATTTCTCCGGGGTCGTTACAAATAAGTCAACATCCGGTCAACCTTTTCAACTTAAATTCTAAACCTTGGAACTAAGTGCTCCAAATCATTTCAAAACCTCACCGGACCCAAACCAATTACCCCGGCAAGCCAAATAACAACTGTAATTCACAATTTGAGCAGTAAATGGGGAAACAAAATTGCAATAGTCAAAACGACCGGCCGGGTCGTTACAGATTGACACATCTTTTTTAGTTCCTTACTGATCATGGGATACTGAACACATATATTGATGCCATCGATTGGGATTGCTTTGTTCTTATTTCGTTTGTTATGCTTTATCACATGGCTTTATCATAGCCAAACCATAATATAGATTACTTTTTTTTGGGTTTCAACTTCTTTCAACAATTATGTGCAACAAAATAATGACAGTGTTACTTTTCCACCTCTCTTGGCATTCTTTTTATTGTCTTGGCATGTGCTGGTGTTAGCTTATTTACCTTTGGTCATTTCTCAACATAGAGCTTACTTCGTATTTATTTCCTTTTTATTGTTGTCATTAAAGGTTATGGAAGGGATTATATCATTACAAGGATTATACTCGAAGGGGGGTGAACCTATTTCTTTGAACTTGCTAAGGGTATGTCTAAATTACTCGATTTTAAGATCAAATTTCTTTTTAGATTGGCCTTTTCTTATTTTCTTAGTTTCATTGCAGACATGTGGTAACATTTGCACTTGTTTGGGACGGGATTTTCTTCCTTACACGAGTGAAGTCATGCCCTTTTTTATTATTCAATGTGCTCAACTTGAACCTGTTTCAATCTGTTTAATCCTCTGCTGCTATGCTGACAAATTAGAGGAAGACTTCTACCCATGGATTCCCCAGGTTGGCATGAATGATCACCTGCACGTTTTCATTTTCTCATGTATTGGGAGCCTTGGCGTAACACATAATGTTTCTTCCATGTGACCAGGAGGTCACCGGTTCGAGCCGTGGTAACAGCATCTTGCAGAAATACAGTGTAAGGTTGCGTACAATAGACCCTTGTGGTCCGACTCTTCCCGGATCCCGCGCATAGCGGGAGTTTAGTGCACCGCGCTGCCTTTTTTATGTATTGTTGAGTGAAGTCAAATTAAAACAAGGGATATCAATGGCTTAAGGCATGAAACAGGTTGTTTCAATCGTTTTACCGCTTCTGAAATTCCATACCCACAATGTCAGGAAAACAGCTGTTGAAGGTGAGAATTCTCGTGATTTCATAAGGTTTCTTTGTTTTCAAGTAAGTTCTCCACTTGCTGATGCAAATTTTCTAATTTTTGCATGTTCAAGCCATGTATAACCTGTTGTATTCTGCTAAACTGGCTGTTGAGAAAGGGATTGCGCAAGGTGGAAGTGAGTCATATTTCACAAAGTTGTCAGACGATATAATATTGTCTTTGATAGAAGCTTTGCATGAGGTTGTCCTTAATTAACATCAGTACTTATGTTGTTTCTTTTTTCCTTTTTTGTTCTGGGTGCGCAAAATGTTTAAGGTCCAATTGGATAAAGAGAAAGTGACAATTGATTTGTTATCTCACGCAGGAGCCTATGATAGAAGTATGTCCATTCATGTTGGATAGATTGAATGATTGCCTGCAGGTTTGGTTCTAACTAAGACAGTTTCTTTAGCTAGCGTATGGACATAGATTTGATTGAAGCTTAAAAAAAAAAGTTTTTGAAAATTGAAGTTGTGTTTGGACATGCATTTTATTTGAAGAAAAGTTGAAGTTTTGTGATTGGAAGAAAATTTCATCCAAAAATCAGTTTTTGGGAACTTAAAATTTCTTTTTCCAAAACATGATCATATTTCATAAACAAACAATGTATTTCAATTTTCTTTTTTTGAAAAAATGAAGCCAAAATCAATGGCCAAACGGGAGCAAGTTTTTAATCCAAGCTCTGCAGTGTTTCTTTTGAACTTTTTATGTTCCAACTTGATCATACTGTTGGCCTTTACATTCCCATACAGTAAATTACTCCAATTTTTTCTCCTTCAATAATCAATATTCCCTCCATTTCAATTTAGATGAGGTACTTTGACTCAGCACGGAGTTTAAGAAAAAAAAAGACTTTTGAAACTTGTGGTCTTAAAAGCTTAAGGGGTAAAAGCTTTGTGGACTATGACATTTGTGTGGTTATAAAAACTTATCATTAATGATAAAATGGGTAAAATGAAGAATCTAAAGTTGAATTATTTTCAATTTTAGAAATGTGTCATTTATTTTGAAACAGACTAAAAAGAAAAGTAACTCATCTAATTTAAAACGGAGGGAGTAGTAATCTATACATAACACTTGTCCAAACTCATATCAATTATATTTATTCCATTTAGAAGCAAAAGAAAGCTTAGCACATCTCTTATACAGAGAAGATATGAGGACAAAGAACAATGACTTGCATGCTAATATGTTCAGGGGATCAAGTAAAGTAGGAGCTCCTTATTTAATTCTTACTTAGTGTGTGAATCAAAGCCTACACAGACATGGTTAAACTTTATTAAAATGCTTAAACATTGACATTTGAAATTAAATAGGATTTTAAGTGGGAGATTTTCACTAATAGTATCATTTGGTTACATCGTTTAAATTTTGACCCTGTTAAGTAAAAATTTTCTTTTTATGTATATACATTCTATGTTGATACCCCTTGACTTCTTCGTAGATTTACTTCTTTATATTGATCCCCGCATAAAACATTCTAGCTCTGCTACTGGCCTCAAGGTTACCTTAAATACTACCATAATTAGGGCATTACAAGTTTCAAGCAGAGACGAGAGATTTTGGTTTGCTAACGTATCTCTTAATTCATATAGACGCTTCTACTCTAAAAACAATTCATGTTTCTCTTGCACAGAATCTGCCATTAACAACCATTGAAGTTCATCTCGAGGCTTTAAACTGATATGCAAATATATTTAGAAATAATAATTAATTTGATACGAGTATAGAAAAGAAAACCTGATATAGTTTCAAAATATTGCAACTGTGTGAGAATGCACCGGAGAAAAATCTTATTAATCAATTAAAGTATGGTACAACACCTATTTATATATAGTGATTACATAATAATATGTATCTACTTTCCGATGTGGGACACTATACATGACTAACTACTTAACACTCCCGCTCAAGCCCGTGCATATAAATCATATGTACCGAGCTTGTTACAGATGTAACTAATACGAGAACCAGTAAGAGACTTAGTGAAAATATCTGCTAGCTGATCATTCGACTTTACAAACTTTGTAACAATATCTCCTGAGAGTATCTTTTCTCTGACAAAGTGACAGTCGATCTCAATGTGTTTAGTCCTCTCATGGAATACCGGATTTGATGCAATATAAAGAGCAGCTTGATTATCACACACCAGTTCCATCTTGTTGATTTCTCCTAACTTCAACTCCTTGAGCAACTGCTTGACCCAAACGAGCTCACATATTCCCATAGCCATGGCCCGATATTCGGCTTCGGCGCTAGATCGAGCAACTACATTCTGTTTCTTGCTCTTCCAAGAGACCAAATTACCTCCAACTAGAACACAATATCCAGACGTAGAATGTTTATCAGAAGGTGATCCTGCCCGATCAGCATCTGTGTACCCAACAATCTGCTCGGGGCCTCGATCCTCGAATAGTAACCCTTTGCCTGGAGCTGACTTTATATATCGAAGAATGCGAACAACTGCATCCCTATGACTATCACAGGGAGAATCCATAAACTGACTTACAACACTCACCGGAAAAGAAATGTCAGGTCTAGTCACTTATATCTGGTAGGATCTCGCAGAAGCTTAGCATTCAGATCCATATGAGTGTCAACAGGTCTGCAGCCCATCATTCCAGTCTCTTCAAGAATGTCTAACGCATACATCCGTTGTGAAATAACAATACCTAAGGTAGACTGAGCGACCTCAATACCTAGAAAATACTTCAATCTGCCCAGATCCTTAGTCTGGAAGTGCTTAAAGAGATGCTGCTTCAGATTAGTAATACCATCCTGATCATTGCCAGTAATAACAAGATCATCAACATAAACCGCCAGATAAATAAACAGATTAGGAGCAGAATGCCGATAAAACACAAAGCGATCAGCTTCACTACGAGTCATGCCAAACTCCTGAATAAATATGTTGAACTTACCAAACCAAACTCGAGGGGACTGTTTCAAACCATATAGTGACCTACGCAATCGGCATACAAGACTACTAGACTCCCATTGAGCAATAAAATCAGGTGCTTGCTCTATATAAACTTCTTCCTCAGGATCACCGTGAAGAAAAATATTCTTAATGTCTAACTGATAAAGAGGCCAATGACGTACAACATTCATGGACAAAAAAAGACGAGCATATGCTACTTTAGCCACGGGAGAGAAAATGTCACTATAATCAAGACCAAAAATCTCAGTATATCCTTTTGCAACAAGAAGAGCCTTACGTCGATCAACTTGGCCATCCGGGCCGACTTTTACTGCATAAACCCAACTACAACCAACAGTAGACTTACTTGAAGGAAGAGGAACAAGCTCCCAAGTGTCACTTAAGCTCCGAAGTGTCACTCGCATGTAAAACAGACATATCGTCAATCATAGCATGTCGCCATCTTGGATGAGATAGTGCCTCACCTGTAGACATAGGGATAAAAACAGTTGACAAAGATGATATAAAAGCATAATGAGGTGATGACAGACGATGATAACTTAAACCGACATAATGGGGATTAGGATTAAGTGTGGATCGTACACCTTTGTGGAGTGCAATTGGTTGACTAAGAGGAGACAAGTCCGCAGTAGGTGCAGAATCTGATGCAAGACATGAATCACCTGGGCCTGATGTTAGATGTGAGCGACGATGATAAGTCAAGAGTGGTGGAGCTGCAGAAGGTTGAATTGGACTAGGTGGTGGAACTGGAGCTATATGTGGTGGAACTGGAACTATAGGTGGTGGAGTTACAACTGGAGATGTAGGTGGTGGAGCTGCAACTGGAGCTGTAGGTGGTGAAGTTGGAGTTGTAGAGGAAGATGAATGGGAGATAGTAACTGAATGTCCAAAAGATAAAACTGGTAGCACCTCAAAGATATCTAAGTGATTACCTGGACTTGTGAAGTATGATTGGGTTTCAAAGAAGGTAACATCAGTGGACATAAGGTACCGCTGGAGGTCAGGAGAAAAGCATCGATACCCCTTTTGCGTTCTCGAGTACCCCAGAAATATGCACTTAAGAGCACGATGAGCTAACTTATCTTTTTCTGGAGTAAGGTTATGAACAAAACACGTGCTTCCAAAGACACGGGGTGGAAGAGAGAACAAAGATAAGTGAGAAAACATGACAGAGAATGAAACTTGATTCTGGATAGTTGAACATGACATACGATTAATAAGACAGCAAGATGTAAGAACTGCATCCCCCAAAAACACAACGGAACATGAGATTGTATGAGTAGGGTACGAGCAGTTTCAATAAAATGTCTATTCTTTCTTTCAGCTACCCCATTTTGTTGAGATGTGTACGGACAAGATGTTTGATGAATAATCCCATGAGAGTTCATAAACTACTGAAATGGGAAAGACAAATACTCTAGAGCATTATCACTACGAAATGTGCGGATAGAAACCCCAAACTGATTTTGAATTTCAGCGCAGAAGGTCTAGAAAATAGAAAACAACTCAGATCGATTTTTCATCAAAAATATCAAAGTGCACCCGGAATAATCATCAATGAAACTGACAAAGTAGCAGAATCTCAAGGTAGAACTGTCCCGATTAGGACCCCAAACATCTGAATGGACTAATATAAAAGGTGACCCTGCTTGATTATCAAGACGCCGAGGGAAATGGGAGCGGGTATGCTTACCGAGCTGACATGACTCACACTCTAGAGTGGACAAGTGAGATAAACCAGGTACCATTTTCTGAAGTTTTGACAAATTGAGATGTCCCAACCGTTTAAGTAATAAATCTGGTGAATCGATAACAGGACAAATTGTTGAAGGAAGACAAGATATGAGTCCATGTAATTTTGCAAGGATAAGGTAATAAAGTCCATCTGATTCATGTCTGTTACCAATGATCCGCCCTGTACTGCGTTCCTGTATAAAAACAAGGTCATCAAGAAATAAAACAGAACATTTAAGTGATTTGCCTAAGCGACTAACGGCTATGAGATTAAAAGGACTACCGGGAACATAAAGAACTGAATCTAAAGGTAAGGAAGGAAGTAGATTTGCTTGACCTATTCCAGTTGCCATAGTTTGAGACCCATTGGCCATTGTGACTGTTGGAAGAGATTGAGAACATGAAATAGTAATGAAAAGAGATTTGTTACTAGAAATATGATCAGATGCACCTGAATCAATGACCCAAGACTCAGAGGTTAGAAGATTGGGAGACACAAGTCACGCTACTATCTGTTTGAACAATGAAAGTTATCCCTTAAGATGTCTGTTTACATGTTTTGTACTGAAGAAACTCCATGTAATCCGGTAAAGAAACCATCTGGATTGGATTCAACGAATTGTGAGTTAAAGGCTTCTGACAAATGCCATGCGCCAGAAAAAGCAGAATTTTTCTGGGAATTACCCTTCTCACTAAAAACTCACTGTTCACACCGAAAAAATATAAAAATGGTCGGAATTTGATTTTAATTGGATGGGTAGGTTGAGATTTGCGAGGAGAAGAGACTGTTCTGAAGAAATTTTCCCAAAATCTGGCCGGGAACAGTCTCACGCACCGGCGCGTGGACGTCGGATCTTCGCCGGAAAACTTCTTCCGAGTCGCTGGAATTTATGCACAACGATAAATTTCTCATGGTTGCTCTAACACCACATGACAATGCACGGGAGAAAAATTTTATTAATTAATTAAAGTATGGTACAATGCCTATTTATATACAGTGATTACATAATAATAGGTATCTATTTCTCGATGTGTGACACTAACTACTTAACAAACTCAAATAAATTAAAAATCAATGGGCAAATCCAATCGAGCAGGAAAAAAGAAGTTATGATACAGTATAGAAGCATATACATGTGTGTTCATTGCTAGTTACAATTTTCTAACATCTTTCATGCAACTTTCATATAACATCATACAACTCATCATACAATTTTCATAACATTCATACAATTTTGATACATCTTCCAACGTGGGTTCATTGCCAATTACTGTTTTCTATTATCCTCCATACAACATCATACAACTTTCATATAATTTTCATACAACATCATACAACTTTTCGTATACAATTTTCATACAATTTTGATACATCTTCAAACGTGTGGTCAGTTACAGTTTGCCTGGTATGCTTCATACAACATTATACAATTTTCATACAATATCGTACAACTTTCGTGTAACATATGAACCTTCATTGCCAGTTAGGTTTGCCTATCACCCAAATCAATGTCGTTATGTTTCTGGGGACTTCTCATTGATGTAGCTTTCTTAGACATTGTTACTCTAAAATGGGGCCTGATAATCGAATATATGAAGTTCATATCAACAATATTTCAATGTGGATTCTAGGTTTAGTTCGAGAGATATGAAATCAGTACCCAGTAACTTAATAAGAGATGATTTTAGAGAGAGAATTTGATAAATTGTCTTAGAGAGAGAGAAATTTTGAAAATGAGAAAGAAAATAATTTGACATGATTAAAGATGTGGGGTTAGCTAGGAGACGTGGGGGTGGATGANTAAAAAGGATGATTAACTTGCAATTTGAACTTTGAATTTGCTGCTATGAAGAAAAATATAGTTCTCTTTGTATTTGTAAAAAAAATTAAACATTCGTTGCTTTTGGGAGATATTAGCAGACTAGCGGACAAGATAAAAAATTGGGAAAACCATGAATTAGGGCTTAAAAAATTAAAAAGGGTCTTTACTTTTAAATTTAATACTTTTGAGTTCTTTTTTAAACTTTTTGAGTAATTACCAAACTGACTTTTGAGAATTTGGGTATTATATGAAGGATTAATTTAACAAATTTTCTTTTAATTTGAAAAAGTCTCTGGGGCTTACTCCTTGCTAAAAATACGCGCCCCGAACGCCCGGGCGTACGCCCCAAATTGCGGGGCGTACGCATCTTGAGACTTTCGCCCCACCATCGCCCCGGGGCATTTTTGGTACGCCTCGCCCCGGGACTCGCCCCAGAAATGCCTTTTAAAACAGAGCTTTGTATACAATTGATAAATATAGTTGTATTAGGTAATTAAATAGGAACCTCCCTAATAGTGGTAATTAGGTTTATAGTTTTGCATACATAGGCAAAAATTCCTTGTTTAATTCATCTTGACCCAGGCCCAAAAATCACCCCAGGCTTCTGAGACCCCTCCAAACCATCCAAACAAGTCCAAAAACATTATACAGGTCTATCCAAGGTCTCGAAACATGAAACGAAGCGTAACTGCTCAAATCGAGGGCTAAAGTCAATGTAAAGAATCCTAAAAAGTTCCAATTTGCATGTAATGGCGCCGAAACACCCCTGAACCCCTCGGGATCCAAACCACCCATACCCGCAAGTCCCAAACCATTGTATGAACCTATAGGAAGTCTCAAATCAAGAAACAGGGTGTTAAAACTCAAAATGACGGTTGGGTCGTTGCACATATATAGGCAAAACTTCATTGTTTAATCCATCTTAACCTAGCCCATTTCAACCCAAGTAGCATTTCAGTCTATTTTAACCAATCCAGATTCAGCCCAACCTCCCGGTTTGACACCCCTGATTTTCAGTTATCTGTTTCTTCTTTCATATCTGTGGACCACTTGTCAATGAAGGTCAGCTTCATAGAATAGTGGATGAGGTAAAGCATGTCATTACAGAAAGTTCAAACAGAAACGGAAAACTCAAAGAGAGAGCAAAATCAGAAGACTTTGATGCTGAGGAAGATGAATTGCTGAGGGGGGTAAAAGAGCAAGAAGATAATATTTTTGTCCAGGTATGTTCCATTTTTAAGTATGAAGTTCAGATATAAGTAACACATTGTTGTACTCTTTATGCAATACTCACGTTGGTTCTACTGCTATTATCGAATATCTTGAACTTCTTTTCTTTTTTTAATCAGCTCCGTCGAATATTAAAAACATTGATCAAAACCTTCAAGGCAGCATTCTTGCCTTTCTTTGACGAGCTGTCATCATATCTTATTCCTATGTGGGTAAGTGCAAGACATGATAACCACCTTCATTCTAACACTCTACTTATTTATTTATATCTATATATATCTTATTCCTTTTTTTAATTTAATTTTTTCACTTTTTTTTGCTTCTGCTCGGAAACAGCCTCTCTACTCCTTTGTGGTAAGGGTAAGGTCTGCGTACACACTACCCTCCCCAGACCCCATTAGTGGGATTTTACTGGGTTGTTGTTGTTGTTGTTGTTGTTGTTGTTGTTGTTGCTTCTGCCAAGGGCAAAGAAAATACAGCTCAAAAGAGATGTACACCAATTGATATCTTTGCTAGCCTTGTGATGGAATGCCCTGAAGTGACTCTGAAGTGGGTTTGTGTGTATGAGTTTTTCTTAAATGGCTGGGTTCACCGTTTTGATAAAAATTATTTCCTATGTCTAACTAGGTACTGTGATGTATTTCTACCTTTGTTTTTGGATGCAAGCAATGACGAACATCCAACAGTTAGACAGGTACGGGAGCCTTAGTTGTTGCTGAGAGGTTTTCTTATTCAAGTTGCTCCTAATTTGATTTAATCAAACATCATTTTGTCGTGTTCAGCGTGCGCTTTATGGACTTGAGCTTTATGCGGAATATGGTGGTGCCGTTTTCAAACATTTTGTTACAGGTGTAATATCGTTAAATGTGATATTGAGATCCTTCTCATCATGGGGAACTAGACAAAAAGTGCTATAATAGTTTTGTGCTTACTAAATCTTATGACATTATTCAGAGGCTGTTTCAAGGATCAATGTAGTGATAATGCATTTTCGAGCTCGTGAACCTGAGAATGAAAACGTATATTATTCTGCTGTTTTTGCACTTGGTAAGATATGTCAGTTTCATTGGGAAAGCATTGGCTCGGCCCAGGTTTGTCCTTTTTTAAAATCCCTAATGTTTATTTGTTAGTGCATTCTTATGCCTTCAGGTCATATATGCTTGAGTTGGAATTCTGAATTTTGAAGGGTCTTTACTGAAATTTAGTAATGGCATACTTGTTTCTGTCTTCCTAGTTATTTCGCTATCTCTTTATTTTTCTCCCTCTTTCTGTTGTTCTCTTGACTATTTGATACATTTATTTCCCTTCTGATTGACCTTCTGCTTTCAGGAGAAAATGAGCAGTGGAGAGCTTCTGAATGTCGAACCACTTGACCTCAAATATCCCTGTCAGTTTCCTCATTTCCCATCTTTTCTTCTCTGTTATTGTAGCATTATATTTTCATAATCTTTTTAATGCTTTTCTCTATGTGTGTATAATGGGGTTGATCAGTCGAGCTGAAGAAACAGATCAGTTGCTCGCTTCATTTGTCAAATAAGACTGAAAACCATGTCGCTTTTAGGGTTAATCAGTAGCGATTTCGATTTCTTGTACACATTATTTTCAGGTCAAAACGACGAATGCCAAAAAGTATTGCGTTCGTCCCAACAAAGGGATTGTGTTGCCTCGATCGACTTGTCATGTTGTAGGTAATTTCACCCACTAAGAAAAAGAAAAACGATACTGTGCAATGAATTTTTTGAAAGTGAAGTCATCTAAGGTCAATTGAATTTTGCGGATGAAAATTTAAATAAATGGGGATTAAACTTTGATAGAAGCTGTGTGTTTTATGCAATTAAAGTCATGGTTAGTCATTTGTGTTCATTTTTGCATCTTCTGTAGTAACAATGCAAGCGCAGAAGGAGGCCCCTTCTGACATGCAATGCAAGGACAGATTTTTACTTAGGAGTGTAGTTGCAAATCCTGGCACCACTCCAGAAGATTTTACCCAGGAAATGGTACTAGTACTAACCATTTAATATTTTGAATTTGTCATGACTTCAAAATTGTAACTCCATTGCAGTATTTTACTGTCATGCTGGTGTTTGGGTGAAAATTTAATAAGTTTTATTAAATGGTGGATCATAGCAGCTTTAATTAGTGGCTATAGCATTTTAGTTTGTTGAACTGGTGACGATCTCCTTGTAGTTCAAGAAAGAAGCAGGACGTGTTGTTGATGAAAGCAGGTTGAGAGTGATTTATATTCCCCCACCTCAGCCACCATTCCCTGTCGCAGAATCCTCAAGGCAGTTCATGAAAGATATTGGCCATCTAGATGGTTTTGAGGTTGTTTACTTAATCACTTGTGATCATTGATTTGATATCATCGTTACCTTCAGGTGTCAAGAACGATATTGACACTGATGAGAAATCATCAGAGATGAACGTTCCGCTTGAACCAATCAACTTTTGTTAATACCGGTCTGATAAAGGTCTGTTTCATTGTGCATGTGCTCACATGTTGAAATATGATAAAAGCAAGCATATAGATTTTGTTCTTCGTAGATGAAGTGATGTTTCTCCACTGTACCAGGTAGTATTGTTATAATTTCTTCACAATTCTTATTCTGAATTCCTTGGTAGGTTGTTCCGTTTTGGTTGAATTGTCTGCCGATAAAGGGTGACTTGGATGAAGCCAAATATGTTCATGACCTACTATGTTCAATGGTTGAAAGGTAATTGTCTTCACATTAGTATTTCATGTTGGGAAAAATAATAATCCCGCCCAGGAATAATATCCACGACAAATAATAATAACACAAGAGAGTAACAACGACACCAACTCTTTTAATGGATAAAATACAATACCCGAGCGGAGCAATATAACCACTATAATATTACAACTTAGTAGTGTCAAGATACTACTACAATCTTGAAAGAAATAATACTCTTTATTTAAAACACATTACTACAATATTACTCACACTCACTATTTATCTCACAGACTACAATCTGTGGATTACTCTCTCTAACTTCTATTGCTTCTCTCTTATTTTAGTGTGATTGAAATGAAGAATGGATGCCTTTATTTATAGTAAGGGATGCCATTCAACTACTACAAAAAAGATGTCTTGTTGTTGATTTAGTCCTATAATGTTTCAACAAAATTAGGCACCTCCCATTTTCTTCAACAAAGTTGTCAATAAAGTTAGGCACCTCCCATTTACTTCTTTGTTTTTCTTCAATATGAGCCCCACAAATTTCGCCCTTAATTTTGATTTTTCTTTTTCATTCCAAGACTTGATCTCAATCTCTCAAAATTGTCAAACTTAAGAGGTTTTGTAAAGATATCTGCAGCCTGATCATGAGACTTCACATATTTGAGCATGACTTCCTTCTTGGCAATGCACTCTGTGATGAAGTGATATCTTGTATCTATATTCTTGCTTCGATCATGATACACCAGATTCTTGGCGAGTTCCTGTGCTTATTTGTTATCAATACAAATCTCTGTAGCTTCAATTTGTGGCAAATTGAGCTCCTTCAATAATCTTCTAAGCCAAATAGCATGATAGGTATATGATGTTGCTGCTATATATTCGGCTTCACAAGTCGAGAGAGTAACTATGGACTGTTTCTTTGAACTCTAAGAAATAACAAAATCACCCAAGAAAAACACAAAGCCAGTTGTACTTTTTCTATCATCAGTATCTCTCGCATAATCACTATCACAAAATCCCATCAGGTTGAAATCATTAGAAGAAGAATAAAATAACCCAAAGTCGATCGTACCTTTTAGGCAACGAAGAATTCTTCTAGTGACTTTCAAATGGGTGGAGGTAGGAGCTTCCATGAAGCGGCTTGCTACTCCAACTGCAAAGAGTATATCTGGCCTGGTACAAGTCAAGTACCTCAAACTTCCCACAAGACTTTTGAAAAATGTGGGATCCACATTTTCTCCTTCATCAAACTTGGATAATTTTGTCCCACTCTCCATCAGTGTGTTCACGGAGTTGCAATCGAGCATATTGAACTTCTTCAAGATCTCCTTTGTATAGCTTTCTTGAGAGATGAAAATTCCATCCTCCACCTGCTTCACTTCTAGGCCCAAGTAGTATGACATGAGCCCTACATCTGTCATCTCGAACTCACGAGACATATCTTTTTTAAAAGCTTCAAACAAACTTGGGTTATTATCCGTGAAAATAAGATCATCAACATAAAGACAAACAAGTAAGATATCTCTATTAGTATGAACTTTAAGGTAAATAGCATATTCATGAAGACAACGAGTAAACTCATTCTCTTGAAAATACTTGTCGATGCAACTATTCCATGCTCGTGAGGCTTGCTTTAATCCATGTAAAACTTTCTTCAACCGCAACACTTTATCTTCATGGTTTTTGACCACAAATCCCTATGGTTGTTCAACATAGACTTCTTCTTCAAGATAGCCATTCAAAAAAGCTGACTTGACATCTAGTTGATGGATCTTCCACTTCATTTGTGCCGCCAAAGAGATAGGCAAACGAATCGTCTCCATGCGGGCAACAGGTGCATAGACTTCTTCATCGTCAATGCCTTGCCTTTGCTTGTAGCCTTTAGCCACAAGTCGTGCCTTATATCTCTCCACATCTCCATCAACATTCTTCTTTGCCTTGTATACCTATTTAACTCCAATTGCTCGATAACCCTTGGGAAGTGTTGTTAACTCCCAAGTTTTGTTCTTCTCTATTGATTCGATCTCCTCCTGCATGGCTTTTCTCCACCTTTTGTCTTCAACAGCTTCATCAAAGTTCATTGGTTCACTATCAGCAAAGAGACAATATAAAAAATCAAAATTAGTAACTTCCTCTGTGTCCTCACAGAGCTCTTGAATACTCATTGTCCTTTGCGGTTGTTCATTTGAACTTTCTTGAGAAGAGGGAGATTCAACATTTGTTGGAGAAAGAGGTGGAGTTGTATCATGTACAGGTTCCACGGTCTCTGGTTCTTCTTCATCACCAAAGTATGGAAGAAAATCATATGAAGTTTCTTCCGGAGCTTCCCAGTTCCATGCCAATTCTTCATCAAATTCAACATCGCAACTTACCACCATCTTGCTGCTACTTGGGTTGTATAGTTTGTAGCCTTTTGAACTAGTATTATAGCCAACAAACACATGCTTGATACTTCGATCGTCAAGCTTCGCTCTCCCTTGATGTGGCACATGAGCATAGGCTATGCTCCCAAAGATTCTCAAGTTCTTGACACTTGGATTTCTTCCACTCCATGCTTCTTGAGAGGTTTGATCTCTAACATTCTTTGTTAGAGACCTGTTGTTCAAATAAACTGTACAAGATACAGCTTCTGCCCAAAATTTCATGGGCATATTTTTAGCTTTTAACATACATCTAGCCATATTAAGAATCGTTCTATTCTTTCTCTTTGTAACTCCATTTTGTTGGGGTGAATAAGGTACCGTTAGAGGGCGACGAATTCCATGAGATTTACAAAAGTCATTAAATTCGTTTGAAGTGAATTCGCCTCCTCTATCGGACCTTAAACTTTTTATTTCATAGCCACTTTCTTTTTCTACAAGTATTTTAAAATTTTTAAAAGTAGAAAAAGCTTCAGATTTTTGGTTCATGAAATAAACCCAAGTCTTTCTACTAAAATCATCAATGAAAAGTAGAAAGTATTTACTTTTACCAAAGGAAAGTGGATTGATTGGTCCACACACATCAGTGTGAACAAGCTGAAGCGGCTTGGTTGATCTTGACATGGCCTCCTTTGGAAAACTCATCCTTGCATGTTTTTCAAGAAGACAAGCTTCACATAATTGATTGGGATGGCTTATTGATGGTATCCCATGCACCATATTTTTTTCTCCCATTGATTTGAGCGCTTCAAAATTTAAGTTCCCAAATCGCATGTGCCAACACCATGACTCATCTTGCACATTAGCCTTCAAACACTTTGCATCAATTGTCTTAAGATTCAGAGAGAATAATCTATTCTTAGCCATATGCACTTTAGCAATTAGAATTTCACTTGAATCTCTAAGCCAAAGATGCATATTTTTCATGTAGATGTCATATTCCTTTTTAAGAAGTTGGCCCAAACTCAAAATATTACTTTTTAATTTTGGGACATAATAAACATCTTGAATTAACTTGTGACTACCATCTTTATAGGAGATCAAAATCGTACATATCCTTTCAATTTGAATCTTTGAGATATCTCCAAAGGACACATTATTTCTCACCGTTTTATTGATCTTCACAAACTTCTCTTTGCATCCACACATATGATTGTTTGCTCCATTGTCCAAATACCACGAGCTACAATCATCTTTGTTTTCTTCCTTGACTGCCATCAATAGTATTGACTCAACTTCTTCTTTCTTGTCGTCAACAAGGTTAACTTTTTCTTCAACATTGCTACGACATTCCCAAGAGTAATGGCCAAATTTATGATAATTATAATACTTAATTTTTAATTTGTCATACCTTTGTCCATTATTTTCTTGGTAGTAGCCACGTTCTCTTACTCTTCTATATCCCCGACCATGACCTCTGAATGTCTGTTAGATTTTAACTTCATTGTTGAAGTTGTTAGCGTTACTTCTTCCTCTTCCATGACTGCCACGACCTCGTCCCCGTCCATTCCATCGATAGCTCTTTTCACCTCCATAATCTTTGAAGGATGCTTGAGTTTTAAGAAATTGCTCCAATGGCACTTCTTGTCTCCTCTTGATCTTTTCTTCATGGGCCTGTAAAGAACCCTCCAATTGTTCTACAATCATAGAGTATAGATCTTTAGACTCCTCAATAGCACACACCACAAAATCAAATTTAGGTGTTAAAATGCGAAGGATCTTTTCTTCCACACGGGCATCTTTTATGTCCTCCCCATATCTTCTTAATTGATTTACAATAGCCTTCACTTTTGAACAATAATCCGAAATGCATTCAGATTCTTTCATTTTTAAAACTTCAAAATCAGCCCTTAGAGTTTGAAGTTTTACCCTCCTCACCTTGTCAACTCCTTGAAGAGAATTTTGTAAAATCTCCCAAGCTTCATTTGAGGTGGTAGCATCTGCCATCTTCTCGAACATGGCATCATCCAGACATTGATGGATGAACGTGAGAGCTTGTTGATCCTTCTTCCTTGTCTTTGCTAAGACATCTTTTTCATTTTGAGGCAGAGCTTCCTCATTATTGGGTTTTGCATACCCTCTATCTACGATTTTCCACACATCCTGAGATCCAAGAATGGCTTTCATACGTAGACATTATTTTTCATAATTATCTTTTGTGAGACGGGGGTACTGAAAAGATAGCGTACCATTATTTGTCATGGCTCTGATACCACGTTATTGGGAAAAATAATAATCCCGCCCAAGAATAATATCCACGACAAATAATAATAACACAAGAGAGTAATAACGAGACCAACTCTTTTAATGAGTAAAATACAATATCTGAGCGGAGCAACATAACCACTATAATATTACAACTTAGTAGTGTTAAGAGACTACTACAATCTTAAAAGAAATAACACTCTTTATTTAAAACATATCACTACAATATTACTCGCTCTCACTATTTATCTCACATACTACAATGTGTGGATTACTCTCTCTCTAACTTCTATTGCTTCTCTCTTATTTTGGTGTGATTGAAATGAAGAATGGAGGCCTTTATTTATAGTAAGAGATGCCATTCAACTACTACAAAGAAGATGTGTTGTTGTTGATTTAGTCCTATAATTTTTCAATAAAGTTAGGCACCTCCTATTTTCTTCAACAAAGTTGTCAACAAAATTAGGCACCTTCCATTTTCTTCAACAAAGTTAGGCACCTCCCATTTTCTTCTTTATTTTTTTAAATATGAACCCCACATTTCAAATCTTCATTATAATTTGATTCATATACTTTTATTCAGTAAAGCTAGGAAGAAAGATTACAATATAGATACTTGATTAGAGATATTTTCCATGGATATCTAGTTCTTTTATTTTATAATTTTCGAATTTTAGCTCACAGAGGCGGATCCAGGATTTGAACTTTATGAGTTTAGATTTGAAATTCTAATTTAATGAGTTCAAAATCTATTATTTATACATAATTAATGAGTTTTCTAATAGCTATACAAGGTCTCGAGTCGAAACTATGGGTTGAGGTGAACCCATAACTTCTTTTGTAGATACGCCACTGCTAGCTCATATATATTGCCTTTCTGTTCTTCACTGTTTTACCAAATTTTCTCACTTGCATGTTAGACAGACAACTTATTGGTCCCAACTATCAGGGCCTTCCAAAGATTATTTCAGTTTTTGCAGAGGTTGGTTTGAAATCATAACTATTTTATGAGTTGTTCATTTTGAGATTGACATAAAGATTTCTCAACTATGATTCTTTTATCTATTCTTGTAAGAAGAACAGTAAAACCTTTTGACATTTTACAAATTACATTTTTCTGTATTACTCGTTTGTGTTCTGTTTTTTTTTTTCAAGTATAAATTTTGGCTATCAAATCTCTAGCTGATAAGTATCTGATAAAAAACAAGGTAAGAATGTACCGATATGTAACATTCCTTTGTTTTCCCCCTTTGATTTAAATATCTTCATATATTGTGGAATATGGCCTTTTATCAAAGCTAAATTCTAGGTATATCTAAATTTTCAATAATTGACTGTTATTTCTTTTCTAGGTTCTATGTTCTGAGAAGGCTCTTGCTACAAAGAAAACTGCAAACAACATGATTAACGTATTGAGGCATCTTCAGAAAACACTACCACCAGCCATGTGGGAATCAGCATGGTCTTATCTTTGCCTCGGCAGGTTGATGGAATTGAAATCCATTCTATCACCCAAAAAAGCCGTGAAAACAGCTTGTTGTAGAAATACAGGCTAAGGCGGCTTACAATAGCGGGAGTTTAGCGGATCTTGTGGTATTCGAAATGGATCAATGGATCAATTAAAAAAATAAACCGAAAAAATATTGAACCGTCAAATTGAAAAAAAAAATATTTTGCAAAATATTTTTATTTTTTTAAAACTAATGCATATGTAGTCCACTGCTTTAGGAGAGTTTTGTTTTTCCAGTTTTTTAAAAAAATATTTTTTTTTCAGTTTTTACAAAATAAATACTTTAAAAAAACTGAAAAGACTTAAAAAAATATATTTTGTAAATTTCTTTCTTTTTCTAGTTTTTACAGAATATATATTTTTCAGTTTTTAAAAGTATTTTAAAAAAAAAAAAAATTCAGGGCATTATTGATCCATTTTGAATAACACAAGGGCATTATTAGACCTATTTTATAACGGCAGGGTCATTTTTGGATTCAAATTTAAACGGGGGTTATAATTGATCCATTTCGAATACCACAAGGTCATTTTTGGGCCTTTTCCCTAGAATTAATGTCTTTAAAAGAAATTATTATAGCAACTTGTTCCTGTACCGGAAAAAACAATACAATATTATTTAATCTCATTTATTTCATTTTACGTGAAACTCTTTTTCTTAATCTTTCCCCAAAAAATGACACGTTTTTATTGCTCTTTTGGCATGTTTATAAAGGGAAAAAATGGTTGAATATTTCCGCTACCTTTGTTTCATTATATAAGGCATTCTTTCATTTTTACTCTTTTAGAAACAAGAGTGGCAACTTTTTATATTTGAAATTTTTTTAATTTAAACTTCTTAGTTTACTCTTAATGACATGCTCTTATAACCATAAAAATATCATAGCATGTATATGACCCAAGTTCTAAGAGTACAGTTAGTATGTGTAAAATCTCTTCTTTTCTTGCTTAAGCTTCACGATCCATTCAAATATCATCATATAAAATAAAATCGAGGAGTAATAAGAAATATTTCTTAGTAGTTAATCCTACAAAAATATTCAAAAGTTGAAGAAAATCAAATTTTAAAACTTTAAATTATGTTCTAACACTTGTCTTTCTTATTTAACTGGATTTTTGATTTGTGTATTAATTATTAAACAAATTTCAAGAAATGCAAACTAAATTCTCCATATTAGTGATTGATTTAACAACCTTTTCCGGAGCAACATACGCAAATGTTGTTTAAACCTATTTCTCCATGACCAATTAGTAACAGACCTAATCTACATCTATAATTAACAATGACCTTGGAGAAACGCATGCAGTGAATGGAAATTCATTTCCTTTCTCTTGTTTTAATGGAAATTTACTCTTTGATAAATTTATTCAAATCGAAGAGCTGAATTTTTTAAATGATACATTTTAGTGGGCCCTATTGGTATGACACCCTTCTTCAAAAACAAATGACAGCAAATGTACTTATTTACCATCAAATGCAGTAAATTAAGGTGGGGTCATTGATTCAGCAAACTACCCACACGTGCTCGCGGAACATGTGTAGCTGTTTTGGGTCTTGAAAATGGCTTAGAAGTTATTTACTAAACTGTGCGGTGGCATTTAGCGTAATAATATGCAAATGCAACGGCAAATATGTTTTCAGTGAAGCACGGATGTCAACGGAGAGGAGCCTGCTTCACCTGTTTCTACGGCTCTTCTTGTATCGAAAGTATTTGATTTGTTTTTCCATCCATTAAATTTTGACGTTTTACTATTTATGAAGAGCCTAGTAGCTCATTATACTCGAAAAAGGCATTGCTCACATGAACGTGCGACTGATTGGAGTGATGGTGCTCAACTGATAAATTTAAGGTGGAGCCCACATGGGAAAAATAGCCAACAATAATGTTATAAATATATTATATTATGGATGTACGTCCTTCGGTAGATGTATTACGTGTTCTCGCCATTTGAGAAAAAATAAGAATAGAATGGTTTAATCATCGATGATAGAATAAAATCGCACGACAGGATAAGAAAGAAATAATGGTTCCTAAACTTCATATCCTCTGAAAGATAAGTACAGACGTCTCTGTACCGATCCTTCAGACTGTATTAAGCTTGCTCGTGACTCGTGAGACCTATGTAACTTGTCACGCTCCAAAATTTTCACCTTCGGGACCGTGATGTCGCCTAACATTTCACTTGCTAGGCAAGCCAACGTTATAATAATATTATCCATTTTAAAATAATTTTAAATTAATTAATAACAAAGAAATAAATGCGAAAGTAAAGTCTGAAATATAGTAATAATCCATAATAATAGCGATGTCTAAATACCATCCCTAGAGTCATAAGTACACGAGCTTGTAGAATGATACAAATAAGGGTGTGAATAAAATAAAGTTATCTCAAAGCAAACACACAGCTAAAGTAAAGTAGACGGGGACTTCAGAACTGCGGACGTTGTGCAGTTATACCTCAAGTCTCCTCTGGGTAGCTGAAATCCGAGCAAGTCTATGATACGCCGCTGGGACCAACTCCGAAATCTGCACAAGAAGTGCAAAGTATAGTATCAGTACAATCGACCCCATGTATTGGTAAGTGCCGAGCCTAATCTCGACGAAGTAGTGACGGAGCTAAGGAAGGTCACTTACATTAACCTGTAGGCAATAATAGTAATAACAACAATAATAGAGATAAATCAGGTAACTCATTTCAACAGTTGAAGCCAACTCAGCAATCATAACCAATTATTATTTCAATCAATTTCCGTTGCGGCGTGCAACCCGATCCTATAATATATTCATATTCAATTCTGTTGTGGCATGCAACCCGACCCCCCAATATAGACTTTTAAATAAATCTGTTGCAGCGTGCAACCCGATCCCCCAATATAGACTTTTAAATAAGTCTGTTGCAACGTGCAATCCGATCCCCCAATATAGACTTTAAATAAGTCTGTTGCGACGTGCAATCCGATCCCCCAATATAGACTTTAAATAAGTCTGTTGCGACGTGCAATCCGATCCCCCAATATAGACTTTAAATAAGTCTGTTGCGACGTGCAATCCGATCCCCCAATATAGACTTTAAATAAGTCTGTTGCGACGTGCAATCTGATCCTCCAATATAGACTTTTAAATAAGTTTGTTGCGGTGTGCAATCCGATCCTCTAATATAGACTTTTAAATAAGTCTGTTGTGGCGTGCAATCCGAACCCCCATATAGACTTTCATTTTCGTTGCGGTGTAAAACCCGATCCCCCAATATATTTTAACAACTCATGAATGTAATAAAAAATACTTCAATAAATACCACGTTCAATGAGAAATTATTAAGCATCAAGGCACACAATAATTATAATTTATTTATGAATAAATAATGATAATTAGCAATTAATTATGGAAATTATGGAGAAAATAGACAGTTTAATATTTAGTATGCTAAATGTCAAATAACAATTATGACACATAAGTCAAATAAGCATGTAATAATTATTTTAGGAATTCAAGAATTAATATTTGACAAGGAATATGAGTGAAACAATTAATATAATAATTAATTCATGATTTAAAATAATTTATGATTTTTCAAGTAATTATGAAAGACAGGGGGATCTCCCGGAATATCATTCCGTAGTCCCAAAGTAAATATGCAAGACAGGGGGATCTCCCGGAATACCGTTCTGTAGTCCCAAAGTAAATATGCAGGGAGAACTTCCGAGAAATCGCCTCGTAGTCTCAAAAGTAAAGACACAGATCAAACGACAAATACAAAAGTTAACAGTAAGATTTCTACGGCTATACTGATAAAGAACAAGGAAAAAACAGAAAATCAACTAGGCATTCTCCACAGAGTTCAAGTAAGCAGTTAAAGCACATAGACATGCGATATTAGACTAAACAGGATAGCTACACATATTGGAATAACTCAATTAAGAATGAAAATAGATTAATACTCATTAGAATGGTATAACTCAAAATAAAAGAAAAATAGGTTGTTGCTCAGTAAACGAAATTGGGTTTTACAACAACTAGCCCATGTACGTACTCATCACCTCATGTACACGGCACTCACATATCACAATAGTTCCAAATCCTAAGGGGATTTCCCCCACACAAAGTTAGGCAAGTCACTTACCTCGAGTCAAGCTCAATCAATCCGTAAGAATGCCTTTTCCTCGATTATCCGACTCCGAATGGCCCAAATCTATCCAAACACAACTGCATATCATGAATATAACCATAATAGATAAGACTCATCTAATTAATAAAAATAATATTTTAACAAAAATTCTGAACCCCTAAAAAGTCGACACGAGCCCACATCTCGAAATCGGATAAAAGTCACAAAATACAAACACCCATTCACTCACGAGTTCACTCGTACAAAAATTAACCAAATCCGATGTCTAAATCCCAATCAAAACTCAGAATTTTGGTTAGGGAACTTTTCCCCCATTTTTCCAACTTTTCAATCCAAATCCGAAATTAAATGGAGGAAACAACTATAGATTAATGAAATACAACTAAAAACGAGTTAGGAATCGTTATCTCAAAGCTCTCTCTGAAAATCCCTCGAAATATCGTCAATTCCCGAGCTTGAAATGTCTAAAAATGAGAAAACTCTCGGACTCTTCGATTTATACACTGCCCAGGCAATTTCGCACCTGCGCATTCGCTTTTACTGAGAGACCTATTCAAAAACAATAGGCCAACGCTTCTTTCATCAGTTTAATTTTAACACAACAATTCCATTTCTTTTGTTAAACGGTAAAGAAACAACATATAATGATTGAATGTGCATAATTTACTGAAAAACTATATCACAAATAGTCAAATAGGTCGATTGGTTCACCTAGGTATCCAACCAACAGAGAAAGTATGGAAGGAATCAAATACTTAAAACTGTAAGAGCTGAAATAAATAAGTAAACATATTATAATTTATGTAGTCCCTGAAGTATTTAATACTTGTGTCAAGGATATTCTCGTTCACTGATTGATCATGATCAACAACTGTGAGCACTTAATTTTTGCCCTAATATCAAATTACTCCTAAAAAATCC